ACAAAGCAAACAAAAAATAATGGCATCAGCTCTCACAGTGACAGCAGCTTATATTACAATAATCACACACAAAAATGACAAGCTATATCACACATTTAATCATTCACATTCGAAAGTCTAATACACTTTCAAAGAACCACACTCAAGACTACTTATAAACACCCACTATACATAAAGATTAAAGGCCTTGCACCTCCATTAGTCAAAAACAAAACAAAAAAGTTTTTGATTCGTAAACCTTCTAATACCAACTCACATATCATTTTAATATATATTTAGGACATGAATTAGAAATTCTCAACTTCATCATTTTAATATATATTTAGGACATTCATGTTTAGAAATTCTCAACTTCATATATTAAAATTTTGTTTCTTCAAAGCAATCTTAATTTGGATGAGAGAATTAACAACGGGAATGAAAGTTCGGCTGGTTTATAAATCAGGTTCTTCCAATATGCTTCTCCAGAGCCATGTGGTCTTTACTGAAGCAACCAAAGAGTCTGAAGGATGTTGAGGATGTGCCACAAGAAAGTTATATCCCCTCTGCCTCCTTTCGTCACTGCAGAAGTACATTAGATTTGTGTAGTCACGGCAGATGAACATAATATTAGCCGGAGGCTTCTTATTATAACCCATCCCCTGAATCGACACACCGTTGAAAATATCCATACTAACTTCTCCTCTTTCAGAACCTGAAGAGGTGAAAACAAAAGCTCAATTAGACCATATCGACTTCTCTTAGAAAAGAAAAAAAAAAAAAAAAACACAACCATTAATTTGAATATGAGCATCAAAGTCTTTATACAATTCCAGAGATAAGGATGAGATGATTAACTGGAGTTGACGTGATTAAGAGTGATCCCAGTGGAAGAGAGAGCTTGCTTGACAGAAGGAGGGATATGATCCATGTTGCCATATGCAAATATGGAGATGTTACCACGATAGTTCAACTTATTCAAGGCCGACCTTATTTTCTCAACGATCCCCTCAGGTTTACAACCCTTTGGAATTGGACAGTTTTCAATGTCCCACCAAACCGACGTAGCAGCCTCCTCGTATGCAGCCTCAGCTACACTATTGTTGACCATCTCGTACTACTATTGATCAAGGCTTGGAACGTAAAAGTGAAAAGTGAGTAAACTCAATAGTGGGAAATAAAATCGCAGTTAGGTTTGTAATCTGTGACTATGGTAACATATCTCCCAATCAAACATCAAGACAAACTATAATCATCACGAATCAAAATTCTCTCCGAAGATTAATACTTATGAGACTTAATTCAACAGAATCATGGAAGTTTATCACAGGGACGAGATTATACCTTTTCCCAAAGATTGACGCAAGTTCGACGTAGCTGTCTAAGGATTTTTTTTAAGGGTTTTCTTAGGGGTAATGCAACGTGAAATTTCGCACTGCCATGAATGTTTCAGTGGGCTTGTTGTGACTAAAAAAAGGCCAGGCCCAGCCCTACTTGTTTAGACCCATTTTAAAATATGTTTTCAACTTTTAACGCCAAGTAAAATTTGGCTTATTGTGTGTAGTTTTCTTAACCTTGCTTGTCTGAAGAAGTGAAGAGTAATATGATGCACTTAGTCTGCAACTCTCTGTTTTCAGCTTTGCTTCAAGTCTGGTTTCTAAGTTAGCGGGAATAATGGAGAGTGAAAAGTGGTTGTAACTTTAGAAGATGTTATATACGTCCCACCAAAAAGCTGCAGTAAATAAACTTCTTACTCTCTCGTTCTCGAAGAGTACAGTTACCATTTACACATCTATTATAAGTTACTAATGAGCTGTCCAAGATTTTAAAGATCTGATTTTCGAAGAATACTAATACAAAAGGTTCATATGATAATTGTTAGGGTGTGTTGGCAAACTAGTACGTTTTTGAAACATAATTATAAAGATAGTACATTTACTATTCACAATTAGCAAAATAGTACAATTTTACTATTTCAGATATTTGTACAGACAGACAACTGTACAGTAACATATTATTGTACATCAAATATTTGTACAAAGAGAAACAACTACATATAAACATATTTACACATAAACAAATATACATATATAAACCAGAATATATATGTACACATACAATTATACGTATATATAGACCGTTGTACGGATGATTTTCCGTACATCGACACACAACTGTACATAAGGTTAGCTGGACGTATCAAATTTGTTTGAAAAATATATGAAATTATTTTTTTTAAAATGCATATCAAATTATAGAGAAAAAAATACAGATTTTTGTGTAATTGAAATTTTATAGAAAACAAATATATTTTGATGAATTTTTTTAGTTATTAGATTTAAGGGGATTTTTAATAGTGTCCAAATAGTAAAAATGTATTAGTTTGCTAATAATGAATAGTAAATGTACTACTTCTACAATTATGTTTCAAAAATGTACTAATTGTTATGGGTGTGCTTAATTTGATCAAGGAACTAAGTACAATTATAAAACCCTTCTGACCAAACACCTACCATACCAATATCATCACATCAATTAAAACTCCTACTGCAAAATTGAAATAAATTTATGATATCATTAAGAAAAAGTGCACTCACAGTTTTAGGTGTAAAACTTTTTAACATCGAAGAGATATTAATTTTATAATTTCTATCGGTAAAGTCCAATTTCTACAAAATATTTCTTTGTCAAATATGTTCTCTTATAATTTTTTATTTTTTTCCGGCCAAATGTTGTTCTCTTAGTTAAGATATACGTTTTATATTTTATTAATGTATAATTTATTTACACCTAAACGGCAAAACCCTAAAAGTCTAAAACCTATAAATATGAGAATCTTTGCGATGAAAAGAGTAAGCAAATAAAACGATGATGAATGGAGGAGACACTTCCATGCCAAATGACCTAATTCCAGAGATACTATCTAGATTGCCAGCAAAATCAGTCGGGAGGTTTCGTTGCGTGTCGAAGCAGTGGGGATCCATACTTAGCCGCCAAGACTTCACCGAGTTGTTCTTATCCAGGTCCTCGGCTCGCCCACGTCTCTTATTAGCCCTCCAACGAGCCAACGGTGAGATGCTATTATTCTCGGCGCCTCAGCCTCAGAATCCATATGAGAAGTCTCTTGTAGTCACTGCCGATTATCATATGAAGTTCCATGGAGATATGCATGGCTACAATATGTGTAACTTCGCCTCTGGTTTGATCTATTTCCCTGGTTTCACTATCCCAGAGTGTGTGAACAAGAAGTCCAAGAGATCAGTGGGTGGGGGTGTTTCTTTCATTTATGTAGGGACAATGTTTTAACTTACCTGATGTATACAGCTACAAGTCGACAAGCTATTTAGGGTTTGATCCGATTGACAAGCAATTCAAGGTACTGGCTGAGGCTTTTCCAGTTTGTGACGAACGTGATCTCCATAATATTCTGACATTAGGAACCGGAAAACTGAGGTGGAGGGGTAATAACCTTTGTCCTTGGTACTATCGTTTTCTGTCTCAGGGGATATGCATTAATGGGGTTTTGTACTATATGGCTGAAAAAAACGATGAGTTATGTCCTGTTTTGATAGTTTGCTTTGATGTCAACTATGAGAACTTCAAGGCAATTGACGCGGAATGCTTTGGAGATAAGTATGCTACTAGATTAATCAACTACAAGGGTAAATTAGGTGGGGTTAATTTGACGTATGATGATGATGACGCCATTGTGTTGACTATGTGGGTTTTAGAGGATGCTGAGAAGCAGGAATGGTCGAACTATGTCTACACTTTGCCTAAACATGAAGTTCAGGTCTACAATGTTTTTGTCGTTGGGATGACTGCTAGAGGTGAAATAGTTTTGGCAGAGAATTTTACATCCAAACCGTATAATGTTTTCTTCTTCAATCCAGAAAGGAATTCTCTCCAAAGTGTTGAAATCCAAGGTGTTGGAGCTAATGGTGAAGCGTTGGAGACTGATTGTAAAGTTTTCGCCTTTGTAGACCATGTAGAGGATATTGGTATCAAAATCCAAGTCCCAAATTACAGTACAGAAGAAGATGAAGATAATGATGAATACGGAAACGAAGACAAAGATGGAAACGAAGACAAAGACGGATACGAAGAAAAAGATGAAGACGGAGACGGAGACGGAGATGGAAACGAAGACAAAGATGGATACGGATATGAAGATGAATATGGATATGAAAACGAATACGGAGATGAATATGGATATGAAGATGAATACGGAGATGAAGACGAAAACGAAAACGGGGACCAAGATGAATACGGAGATCCATGGTATCCATACGGGTACTGGTATCCACACGGGTACGGGTATCATCCTTACTGGTATCATCCTTACTGGTATTATTCTTACGGATATCATTTTTACGGGTATCATCCTTACGGGAACGGATATCGTTACGTATATTATCCATAAGGGTACGGATACGGAGATGGATATGATCAAGAAGAAGAGATTCAGAGAGGCGTGTGGGAGAGCTGAAACAAGGTTTTAATTCATAAGTTTTTTTTTATCTTTTGTTTTGTAATTCCATGTCTCTTCAATAGTTCTAAAATTAATCGAGTTTTTTTTTTAACATAAACAGCCTTCTGATTATATATATACGTATTAATTATTCTTATCAATATTTTCTGTGGTTGCTTCTTTTGGGGGTCATCTAGATTAAACCTGAGGTGGTTGCAAACACTCGATAGTCGATACAACCAAATGATATGCTTGAATGAATCAATAGGTTTCTTCTTCATATTCAAATACATCATCATCCTTTGTTTATTCTTTGTAACATTTCTCAGTGAGAGTCACAAAGCAATAAAAACACACAGAACTCTTTCCTTTCAACATATATACTTGGCCACTTGGGTCTAAATCGTTTTGATCTTTACAAGATCCTTGAGAAGCTTGGGAATCAAGCAAACCCTGGAAATAGCACGAGACTATGTAAAGGAGATCCGCTTCTCTCTGCGAGAAACGAAATTAACCTTTTGTCCAAAAGACAATTACGAAAGAAGAAAAAATTTCATCTTTAGCTCTTTATGAATACTTTACTTGAAGGGTTAATACAAGAAGAAATCATCTATAAGAAGAAGAAAAAAAAGGTGAAAATTATAAAGTTAGGCTGCAGAAGTTAATCTCAGCTGTTGCTGTTGAGATTCACCAGTCATTGGATCGTTTGTGTTTTGGCTCTCCAATGGCATGTACTGAGACATAATCGCCATGATTTCGGAATCCATATAAGACTGCATTGTTAAAACAATCATCATTAGTGTTATAGATAGATTCATGATGATGATGAATATATATGAAGATTCATAAAGGTAAGCAAAAGTGAGAAAACATTACCCTGAGACGATACTTGTAGAATACGTAACCACCTACACAAATGCCTGCAACTGCAGCTAGAATCACAAACGTGAAGAACCACCCGATTCTTGATCCGCTTCTCTCTACAAGAAACGACGAAAACAAGAAATGAGGATATGAGTCTTGGATTTGTAAAAAGAATCTGACAAAGTTTTAGGTCTTTATTGTTTGTTTTCCAACACTTACCGATGCAAGTGTCTTGTTCTTTCATGTATAGACGATTTCCAGAGCATTTGCACTCGAAGCCTCCCCATTTGTTCTTACACTTGCATCCATCACATTGACAAGCTGATTGCTCCTTACATTCATCAATGTCTATAGTAAGATAGATATAAACAAGATGAGTCAGTTTAAGAAAACATGATGTGAGATTTTAAAGTTAAGAGGAAATGAAAATTTCACCTTCACATTTAAGACCATCTCCTTTAAAGCCTGGAGGGCAGCGACATCCTGATGTCTCTGAGTTCTGAACTCAAACAATAATATGTTACTAAATGAGATATTTGTATGAAAAGTTTCAAACTTTATAAACTGAAAAAGCCAAAACAAGTAGAGTCACTTAACCGAACAAGCAGAGAAAGTTAAGCCCTTTTTGGTTTCAGACCAGCAGCCTCCTTGATTAATTGAGCATCTCGCAGGGCCATAAGCTGTTATAACATTCAAGCAAAGATGACATTCTTTTTCAAAACCAGAACACTAATGAATTTTTCTACAAGATATCGATATCGAAGTTCAAGAACATACGTTCACATGAGGTGTAGCCATCTCCTTTGTACTGTACACCATTCACAACAGGGCATTCACAGACTCTTCCCCTAAATGTGTCCTTACAGAATCCAAACTCAGGTGTTAAAATTTACCAAATATTTATAAACAAAGTAGTCTCTAAAATTCATCAGTTCTAATCAAGTACCTTGCAAGCTGTTACATTAGACTTCTTGTCCTGCCAACACCCTCCATTTGCTTCAAGACATTCGTTTGTTTCGACATCTGTTTCAGTAATGTAAAGAAGAGTTTTTTAGTTCGTTCTGTTACCACGAGAAAATCATCCTCAGCTTACAAGGGAATTGGTTTAACCTCCACTTAGACAGATTCCTGGTTCAGTTCTTTCCTTAAATCCTGAACATATAGCCTTTAGTACTGCATTTCTCTCGAGTTTACCTGAAGAACAAATAATATTATAAGCTTAAGCATGCACAACTTTCCGGTAACATATTTAGTTCTAGTTTCTAAACAAACATGTAACAATGAGAAGGAAAGAAACAAACCGCGGTATTGAGCATTGTTGATGATCAATGTTGGCAAAATTGTTACATCCCCGCGGTCACCTTGTCCTACCTACAAGTAAGAAATCAGACATCTTGGTGAGTAAATTTCAGAAACGGTTATATAGATGCATTCAAGAAGAAAACCGCTACCTGAAGTGCTTGCTCAGCTTTCAAAACTTCATTCTCCACATTAGCTTCAGGATCACCAATACATTTCTTGATCTTGTCAAGTGGTAAACCTGAGAATAAGAGAAAAATTAAGATGGGAAATGTGAAGAACAGGTGTGCAAAACGAATGTAATCATGTCTCTTACCAAGAGATTCAACAACTCTTTCAGCACATTCTTTGCTATACTTCTTCTCCTTCATTGAACACCTAATGTGAAAATCAGTCACATAGTCCCACCAAACCCAAGACCGGTTATTCTCTTTCGCCACTTTATGAACACATAACTGTCTCAGATTCTCGAAAACGATGTCTTTGCCATCATATCCATCACCAAAGTCTTGTTCAGGGTCAGGAGCACAATACCTCCCTTGGTTTATACACTGAGACTTACACTGATTGCTGGAAACATAATCTTTAGGACAAAACCATGTAATGTAATGAGGTGTGAACAAAGAGTATCCTCCTTTTTCAAGAATCTGGGCATGCCCTTTGAAGTTCTTGATAAAATTCATCTGCTCATCACACCGTGCACCACACTCATCGTTCGTGTTAGTCCATAACTCATACTCAACTCTCTCATCCGGATGAGGCAATGACTCACTCCAGTCTATCTTTAGAACTACTTCCTCACCGTTTTTAAGAGCTTGCTTGAGGGTATTGGCGAAAGAATAGTCAATTAAAGCTGAAGGAATGTTGAGTTTCTCTATAAACTCATCAGCTTCTTTGGATTCCTCAGGTGAATCCATAGTTATCAATGGCTCATCGACGTTATCAGCTACTAGAACTGCTGCTGCACCAGATTTTTGACCGTTCCATACCTTTAATGCAAAGTAGCACTCTAATGCAAAACAAAACAAAGCAACAAATCAAAACCAAATTTACTAACACAGAATGACAGAACTATGGAAACATATCAAATTGAAAGACTTGTCTCAATCTCAATATACTTAAAAAGAGAAAGCTTTTGAGTTCTTCTACCAACTAAATTAAGATTGAGACAAGTCTGGCATACCTAATTTGCAGTAATATTTGGATCTCAACTGAAAGATTGTAAACTAAGACATAAAAAGTGAAAGATTTAATGGTCTTCTCCAATTAAATTGAGATTGAGAGAAGTCTCCCATGTAAATGAGTAAATGATGATTCTCTAAGTTACAGGGCAATTTGAATCAATAGGGAGATTGAATGATGCTAAACTAAAAATTAAAAGAGAGAGCTTTTGAGTTCGTATACAACTAAATTGAGATTAAGACAAGTCTCTTATGTAAATGACAAAACTTTCTATTTCTAAACAGAAACTTGCAGAGTTGAAAACACATTCTCTAATTTGCAGAGCAATTTGAATGAAACAGTTACCTCCACGATCGATGATTAAGATGGTAGGACGAGGGAACTTGGGTTTGAAAGTTTTGTCAAAAGAGTCACACCCATAAGCTCCTTTACCGGCGTAAACGACGGAGCCGATCATGTAACCACCGTAATTAGGAACGCCAAAGTTAGCGATGGCAGCATCATGCTTAGACCGCATTGCCAAAGGGTTTAGAATCATCACGCTACTCTTCTCAACGATGAATCTCCCGAATACTCCGGTGACCACCATGGTCAACGCTAGAAACAGAGCCAAGGTGGCTCCTTTATGAATCAAAGACATTGTTTCCGATTAGAGAAATTTATTCTTTTGGGTTTATTTTACGTTTGGTTCCTGAGAAAGTGAACGCAAGTCGGAAAGTAATGAATTTTCGGAAATGGGTGTCTCTGTTTTTTCGAAAATTTTCCCGAGAAAATGAGATCTTAAACAGAGTTAGATGATTCAAACTTCTTCATTTTTTCTATTTGTTTCCATGGAATTGATGGATATAAAAAAAAGAGGAGAATTTTGCTTAGACGGGAAAAAGAAAAGAAGCTCAAGAGAGAAAATGAATGACTCTGTTTCCGATTAATTTTCTCGAGGAATTTTCTCGAGAAAAAGAGATGTGAGCGTAAAGTAAACGGGAGAGAAGATGACTTGAAAGAGTCAGCGGAACTAACCATGTCTCTGCAACTACTGATTCAACAAACTTCTCTCTTTGTCATTTTAAATTATTTACGAGAATAAAAAATAATATTAACGTTGTCTTAGATTGTAAGGCAAATCGTGAGGTCCTATCATTTGTTTTCTTTCTCAAAGCTCTAATCTTGAAGCTTAATCAATGAAACGTTTAAAGAAGTATGGGTGGCTTAAGTTTAATAAGTCCACAAGTTTCAATTTTAATCCGGACATTTCATATGTAAATCATACATTTACGACTACTATAAGTAAAGTTTCAAAACCAATGCTTACTTCATTGACTTTAAAATTGGGGCAAAGGCAAAAGACTAATGAAGTACCATTTGGGTTAAGTTAGAAACTTTAGAATCATCTGAATGGCGATGTGACAATTACTAGGAGACATAAGTTGTTTAATCAGACACTAATTATTAACTCATATATTCAACCTAATTGTTACCTTTACCATTATTTATTCCTGAATTATTTTAAGGCTGACCATGATAATGATCTGTTTTTTTATAGGTCATGATGTGTTTATTACCTTATTTAAATATAATTTCAGGGAAATGGTTACAAACATGCATTTGTATTTAGTAGAGAGACTTGGTCTCTAATAATAAAATGATTAGAATGAATTATATATATATATGTGTTCTACTTGTGGGAGAAGAGAAAATTATCATATCCACTGAACATGATGTTGAATTTTAAATGTGTATATGCATATGATTAAAATGTCAATCCATTATTCAAAACTTATAGTGCCCCGTTGGAGTGGAGTCTCATGCCATTTTTGTTTTAGACACAGAAAAAGGAAAAATTGAATTGAAGTTGTTTCCTTTCTAGTAGTCTTATGTCTACAAGAAGAAGAAGAAAAAGACTAATACAGTAAATCAGTAATGTTCAAAATAACACTTTCTTCACGTCATTCATATGAATAGAATTTTGACAAACATACATCGACAAGAACGTTCAAGTTACGCTACAAGTACACCAATAAAGAATTCACAAGAAGAAGAAGAAAAAAAGAAACGTAATGACCATTTCAAAAAAGCCAATTAACACTAATGTTACCAAGCCATATCAAAAGAGGGAACTGGACCAAGGCTAGAAACAGCAGAAGGTAGTGATGTTTGCTCGAATCGTAACTCCTTACTTCAGCAAACAGAACACGTTTCATCGTCTTCACCAAGAAAATCCCAGTGCATAGACATGTCCACGGCATCAATGCGTAGTACGAGTATCCCCACATTATCTTGGAAAACCCCGCAAGACATAGACCAGCAAAAGCATAGCCTCCGTATGCCACAATGTCTAGTAATGGCGCCTCTCCGCTACCAAGTGATAGAAGTGTTACTTTCAGGAGCATCACTTGCAAAAACCAACCAACCAATCCTTTCACAAACAGCCAATTCAAAGCTTCTGGTGTAAACCTAGAGAGACCAGTCAGGTTTGAAACAGATTAACATCAATCATTCAAGCCCTAATATAGCAAACTCTAAGAGGGAACCACAGGGGGAGAGACTAAGCATAAAACTTACTTTCCATTCAGTCCTAATGAAAGGCCAGCAAGAACAACGTAGGTGCCAAATGCCATAAACGGAATGTATAAGTCTGGCGCATTGATATCATATATTGGAGGCTTGTATGAGAGCCTACCACCAACTGGTTCAGATATTCTGGTCCAATGTCCCTGAGGGTTTGAAGCAGAAGCCATACTAGTTTAATTTAATGGCTTTAATGAGAAGGTATAAAACAAAAGACGAAAAGAGAAGACTAACTTACCCGATGTAGAAAAGGCAACAAAACAACCTTCAGTTTGTTCCTCACATACTGATCATTAACTTGGAAATAGTATTGCGGATCAGAGAAGTAACGGCTTATCTGTTCCATTTTAGATGATGAGTTAATAGCAACTTCAAAACCATGGAAATCAGATACTAAGTACGATATGAAACCATCAAGAAATCACTTACATTGCTCTGCACATACTCAGAGCTTGATCCTAAAATTCGCTCCCCATACGCTCCCAAACCACCACGGATAAAACCCGAGCCAGCTCCAGTGAAAGGATTACCAAATGGACCAGGCTCAGGGTTTCCTGGAGGTCTTGGCATCCCCGGTTGAGGTCCCATGTTATTGTACATCTCTGCCATCAAACCCAAAACCATCACAATCAACACATCTTCATCTCACACCAACCAATAAACCACCACAATCAATACATCTCTTAGTTCTAATTTCGAAACCAAAAAGTAAGATAGCAATTAGTACATCAACTGCTTCTTCAGATTCAACAGAGTTATCTACAAGTTTTTCAATTTCAATATTTGTAAAGAACAAATAGGATTCAACACCAGATCCTAACATTGACGCTTTAATATGTTCCATTGCTTTTCGATTTCATTCACGAGAATGCATAACCAAGCGCCAATTCGAGATCTATAATTCAACAAAAAGAGAATCCCAAATGATCTCGCAACACAAGTTCAAGAGCTTCCAAGTTCATACACACAAGCCATCTAAGCTAAATCCATCGAAACAAATCAAAATCGAAACAGAAGAGAACAAAATAGCAAAGATCTGATTCGCTAACCGAGAAACAACAACAAAAACGAACGAAATCACGAAACGAAAATTTAAAAAAAGTTTCACTACCGATCAACACACAAACATACTAACCCGGAGATGAGCAGGTAGAGAGTAAAAGCTTCGAAGATAGAGTTAGAGCTTTCTTCAAATGGAAACAATGGATGATTGATTCTCCTCAGAAATCAAACAGTGTGATCTGCACGGAGACGAAGAAGGGTACTCTCGGGTTTTCGTTGCGCAACGAGTCTTCTCTTGGGCCTATATTGGGCCACTAAAGTTTACTTAATGGGTCAATTATTTTCGCAAATAGGCTTTAAACTTGGATAAGATATAGTTTAAACTCGTAACCAAACAGAACCGGACCAATTTTTTCTCAGTTCCTCAATTAGGTTTAGACGATATAAAACAATCCGACGCCAAAATCAAAAACCCTTTTGCCTCAAAACCCTAATTTTCGAATCTCTCCCCCAAGCGCAACAATGGCGAAATCAATGAGATGCAAGAGAGTGAAGAGATTGAGAGCAATAAGAAGAGAAATAGTGGAGAAGGAATCATTCACTCTAACGAGAGAAGACGCCAAATCCGCCGCAATCGAAGCCGCACTCGCTGCGCCGAAGCTACCAGTTCGTCAACCACCAGTTTCGCCGTTTATGGAAATTGCGACGCCTTCCTCTGAGTCTGCTCCTGCCACTGTCGATAACGATTCGGGTATGTACAGTTTCTTACTGTAGTATCTTCAATCTCTCCATGTAAACTTGATTTGGCATAGATTGAGTAAACTTGATTTGTTCGTTTTGTGTTCGATATGCTAGATAACGCTTGAAAAAGCTACGTTAGTTGAAAATTACTCATTTTGATACATTTTGAAGGTTTAGTTAGTTCATTACTCTTGGAAAGGTTTTTGCTTCTTTCACTTTGTGAATTGCAATGTGACATTATCAAATTCACTGTTTTGAGTGCATAGCAATGTTCTAGGAACTTTGTTCACATTTGCATCGTATAAGTATAATAGTTTCTTTTTAAGGTAAATCAATGTTTGATTTGGTCTATTGGGAACTATAGTTTGAGTTGATTCTATATCTTTTGAAAGGGTTTGTGATATTGGTTATGTTCTGTTTTGGACTACTGTTGTTGTTTGCAGATGTGGAAATGGATGATGAAAAGAAAAACAAATCGCTAAAACCTATCGGAAGGAAGTTGAAGAAGAAGTTTAAGATGGGGATGAAGAATCGCCGTAGTAAGGGTGTCCTTCGAGGCAAACGTAACTAAGCCTGTTGGTTTTCTACTGGTTTGTTTCGACTTGCACAATTATGTTCTCTCTAAATTCTCAGGGTCTTGAATGTCTTAGAGTATATCTACCTTTGTACTATGTTTTTTCCCCATGAGCTTCAATATTATAGAGACGAAGACTTCCATTTTCTTGCACCTAAAGTTAACATCACAGCTTTTTACTCGATTGGCAGTTAACATTTGGGATTATGAAGTTGCTAATAACCTCACGAGGGTCAAAGGAACTTGTAACAAAAATAATTCTCAGTATAAATCAAGATTCACAGTTTTGTTGTTTCAGACAACAAATTACAATTAAAAAGAGAACTCAAAATTAAAACCAAACAAGAATTTACTTTCAAGAAACAGAAGATTCTTTTAGAAACTTATGAGAGATAATAATTAGTAAGTTCCGGAGTTAGATTTGCTGCAGACCTTCCTGATCTCTCCGATACGATCTTCACCAGTGAGAACACCAACATTGACCAGCTTGGCCATAGAGACAGCAAACTGCTGCCTGAACATCTGAGGCGGCTGTTCAGCGAAAGCCTTTACAAGTGGAGCGGTCCTCGGGTCCTTAACAAGCTCCTGATCAGTCGTCAAGACTCCCATATTCTTCTGAAGATTAATGTAATACTGGTTATCGAACACTGCTGGAGTTATGGCGTCGAGAGAAACAGTCTCAGTGGCCCAGCGACACTTGCGTCTCAAGTAATCTGCGTATTTAGGGTCAATCGACGGATCAGTACCACTGGTACCGTTGAAGTTGTAAAGCCTTGACTGGATGGTGCCACAGTACGCTTGTCCGATGGTGTGTGCCCCGGAGAGGACAACTAGGTCGAGGATGTTTAGACCATAAGATTGAAACGTCTCGAGAAGGGCGGTGACATCACGACGGCCTGAAGGAACTTTCTCAACGTCTCTAGCGTAAGAGTGTTTGGAGTCACGACGACCGTAGGCGTTTGGCCAGTAAGGACCACCGAGTTGGACGGTAGCGGCACGGCTAGCTGCGGTTAGGATGTCAGCGCAGGAGACTAAGCCGGGGCAAGATTTCTCGAGCTCTGACTTGATATCGTCGATCAGCTCGAAGCCTCTAAGGGTTTTGCTCGCGGGAGATCTCCTCTCTGTCCCTTCGTAGTCTAGAAGAACCGACGCATCACATCCCTGAAAGTCGTTAATTCATTTTACAAGAGAGTCAAATTGTTATCTTCTGAAATGCTTATCTATACTATAAGATATGCGCAAAACATTAAGGTAAGGTGCGTTTGTGCATAGAATAAATTGCTTTACTACGTTTTCAATATCAAGAAATGAAAACATCGTAAACCATACATTACATATATGAATCAAAATATTAATCGGTTATGTAGCCTGGAGTAATGTATATATAAATACTACGCAATTGAACGACTAATGTTGAATAAATATTTAAGAAAGAAGATATAATTGCAATACCGTGACGCCACAGTCGTGGAAGATAAGGCGGAGGAGGGCAGGGCCAAGGGAAGCGTCAGTCTTAGTCCATTGCCTCACTTTGTTATCAACGATTTTCTCAAAATTTGGACAAATCTTGTCATAGTAATTCAACGATAACAGATTGTCCAAAGGAAACCATGACGTTGTGTCGTCACCATCGTCATCATCATGATCACCTCCGTATCCTCCAGCTCCCGGTAAGTCTTTCCGGCCAGCTGATACCGGCCAAGCCACGAGAACCATGAGCAAGACGACTGAGACCACGGCCAACTTCATTCTGTAGTGCTTTCTTGATATATCTTTTTTTCTTTCGGAATTTGATTGGCTTTGATGAGAGGTGTGTTGTGTGAGTAATTTATATATATTGGGTTTTGGAAATGAATGTGATGCTTTTACGTGCGAGGCACAACTTAAAGATTTGAATATTCATGTGAGTTGCCTGCATGTCGTATATGAAATGTTTATATATAATATATGATATATGATTCCTTTTTCCCTTAGAGAAACAAACTAAAGTTTAGATAATGATATATTTACATTATTAAAATCGGGGTTTTGACTAATATGAATTAGATTAAGTTTATGTTTGTCAACTTCGATTGCGTTATTTTATTTTGCTCATCGGTCGGTATAAAAGTCTAGTTTTGTTTACTAGTGGTATATACACGGTGAAGCAGGCTATCGAAGTAATCGGTTTTAATTAAAGCAAAACGTGAGATTTCGAAATTAATATTCAATATCTTGAACATATAAAGGCTATTAGAAAACTACGAGATTTTTAGAAAAACTAGGGATAGTAGTTTTCTCATGAGTAAAAACTAGGGATTAAAAAAAATACGAATTTTGTACTTCATTTCATGGTTTCAGCTAAATCCATTAAATATTTTAGTGAAATAATTGTATTTATTCTAGAGATTTTTGGGTACTAGATTAATAGATGTCATGATTTATATCAATAAAGTTATTTGTTAAATTGACTAGTAAAATTCATACATATTTGTAGTCTCTTATTAACCTTCCACGATGTCTTCAAATCACTTTCATGTATAAACCTTCAAATAATTTTTTTTACCGACCGAATAATTTTTTTTTCAATAATACATACCTTCATTGATAATTCCAAAAGTTTGGAAATCTTACAATACAGTGCTTCACAGATGAGAAACACCTACAACCAAAAAAAAAGATAAAAAAATAATCATTGGTCAATCTTAATTTATCTTTGTTGTAGTCATTGGTCAATCCCAATTCTCAACAAATAATCATGACCATGAGTTTGTTTCTTCCAAAAATTATAACAGGAAAGAAACTTGGTATAATTAAATTTATATTACACATATTAAACCAAAAATTGAAATGAACACTTAAACAAAATATAATATTAATTTCGAAAAAGCAAAAAAAAAAGTTCCTAATATACTATTTTACTTTTCTTTAATCAATTTTTCTTTTCCATATATGTTCTCTAATTATATAATTTAAGATATGTTATATGTTTACTATCTTTAGTTATTCAATTTAATTATTTTAAATGATATGGCATAAGAAAAGTGCGCATGGTTCCCACTTAGCAACGGCTAAATCTCCCCAACGGCTCCATATTGACTATCGCATTTAGGAGCCTTAATAAACTTTAATAAGTATATAGTAATCAAATGCTCCTTATTTTTGGCATTACTAATTAATTTGCTTTTACCAATATAAATGACAAGTGTTATACAGAATCAGAAACCTTTAAATTTATAATAGTCCTAATTTATAGCTTTTTTTTTTTAAGTTTCTTTCCATAACGACATCTTCACTTTTGGCCACGCAAGCTTTTTCCTTTCTCTCGAGCGTACACCTCATTCTTTATTTTACAGACACGTTCCCAAGTTTAAGGGACAAAACAGAGCAATTTTAGGACTAGCGGTGTTTGTAATAACAAAACAAAACAAAACAAAACAAACAAAAGTCTTTACTAAACAGATAAGAACAATACTGTTTCATCGGTTCTGTTTCTTCTTCTTCGTTCCTCGTGTCTCCACCACTTCTTGTTGTTCTGTTTCTTTAACAAACCAAAAAAAACAGAGAAAAATCTGTGTTTTCACTAATACAAAACCAATTTCTCTTTCTTTATTCTTCTTCTTGTAGTATCTCCATCGATCGAATGGTATTTTGATATTGATACGAGTCTTATAGTAACAAAACAATGGCGTCTTCTCAGGTGGAGATCATACAGCCTTCACCGTCTCAGAGATTCGGGTTTATTCTCAGAGACCGTAATCAAAACGCTGGCGTTTTCAACAAGAATCTCAAACCTCCTCCTCCGGTGAAAAACCATCACGAGGTCTACAAAACTCATGCCGGAGACGAGAACTCTGAGAACTTGGTCGATTCTTGGATCGAGACTCATAACATCAAGAACAGTCGTATTCGATTGACGGAGAAACCAATTGTTAGAACAGAGCGTGTTCTTGAATCGACAAGAAACGACAATCGCGGTGCTTCTTCTCTTGTACAGATATGGGAGGCGAGGCTACACCGATCCAACGGCGGAAACTCGCCGAGCAGCGGCCAATCAACGGCGAGTAGTACTCGGAGCGATTCAGGACTTAGTAGTGTTCAAGATTCGATCGACGGTGATTCCAAAATGGTCGAAGAACAAGACATAGCAGAAGCTAAGAATACTAAACCAACGGTGGAGGTTGAATCTGAGAGCAAATGGGGACGAGTGGCTGATCTAGTTAGGAGGCTCAGCAACGAAGACAAGAAACTAACGGCCGGAGCTAAAAGCGGCGGCGATGGCGATGGAATCTCGATTATAAGAACGCCGAGGCCTTGCACTTCGTCGTCGTCGGAGAGAAGTAATTTTCCGGTGGTTGGTTTCTCACCGAGGATCCGAGGACGGCAAGCTTTTGCCGATTTGCTTATGCAAATGGAACGTGATCGCCACCGTGAGTTGGATTTGCTTCTTGAACGCAACGCAGTTTCTAGGTTTACTCAACGTGGTCGTCTCCAGGTAAAATTATATTTTCCATTATTTCGATAAATCACCCAATCATTTTCATAATCCACTTTATACTTTTTCTTGACTACAATCTCTTCCTGTTATGTATTTTTTCTTCAACCAGTCAATGTTAAGGCTAAGGAGTCTCAAACGCTGTCTCTCGATTCAAGATCAAAGCCGGTCTAACGCAAAACCAACAGGATTAAACCGTATCGAATCAGGCTCTACAGTTCTGCATTTAAGGTTTGTAAATTTTCTTTCATAAACTCTGTTCTTTTCTATTTTATTCCCTAAGAGGTTCTTGTTTTTTTTAGTTATGAGCATTTGTTTATGTCTGATCCTTTTAATCGTTGAATCTATCGAAACACAGAGAGAGATTTCGTGCAAATGCATTGAGCACTCCGGATGCAACAGATCAGAGGAAGGATCATCATAGATCCGATGAGATGAATAACAAAGCCGTTGAAGGAACTACCAAGAACAAGATGCTGAAACAAGGTACTCTAGAAGCTTTCTTCAAGGAGAGGTTGAACATCCGTGACCGCAAGATAGAGGAAGCAACGTTATGTATGGAAGAAGAAGCTGTAAATGCACCAGTTGCGAATTGCCGTCAACTGCAAGAAAGAAGAGATGTAGAAGATACTTGCAATTACAGCGAGTATGTGAAGAAAGAGGAAGAGAAAACAAGTCTGAGCGCATGTGTAACTCAAGAATCATGGTTAAGGCAGAATCAGAGTGAGAAGGAAACGGAAAACTGTATGCAAGAAACTCAAACACAAGGTATGTTACATGAGAGTAATGGGATGGATCAGTGTCTTGAGCAACAAGAAACATCATATCTGAATGGATGGGAAGAATATGAAGATGAGCAGTCTTATTATGGAGAAACGAACAATGACTGGCTTAGCGAAATATCTCGGCCGCGAAGTTACTGGGAGGAACTGAGGAAGTCTAGGTACCTAGAAGTAATGAACACTCGGTCTGAGAAAGAGGACATATGCAGACTCCTTGAGCGGTAAGTAACCATCAAATTCAACAAACCTTTTTCCTCTTACTTGTTAACCATTTATTAAGAAAATGTATGTTTCCACCTAATACAGGAGAACGGTGACAGATTTTTTGGAGAGCGGGTTGCGAGAGAAGATTGATAATCTCATGATGTCCCGTGTGCAGACACACTCAAATAAGCACTCTGAGTCTGAGCAATGGGAATTCGAACAAGTAGAAGAAGAGGCAGAAGAGAAATATGAAGTCGAAGAAGAAATCAAAGAAGAAGAGCCATTAACGGAAGGTGAAGAGGAAGATGATAGAGATGACTCGAGCCAATCATCTTCATCACAAATCTTTGTATCGTCTCCTGCAGGATCTTGGAGTTCTCAAGACACTGGAGTTACTTCAACTCCAGTCTTATCTGTTCATAATCTTCAGTCACCTGTAAGTCTATAAATTTCTTGTTCTATTTCTGGTTCTACAACAGAAACTTGCAATCGCACTAGTGGTAAAAATCATTGAAACGCTTGATTTAAATACATTTTCAGGGAATGGAGCTGATAAGCGATATGAGATCACAGATCCAACAGCTTCAGCAAGAAATGTCGGTTTTACGAGATTCTGTCAAAACGTGTTTGGATGCAAACGCGAGCCTGCAGCAGAAGGTTGAAAGAGAAAACCCGATGAAATGGAAATGCTGCGTCTGCGACGAAACGCAGGTCGAGGCGGTTTTGTACAAATGCGGACATATGTGCATGTGCCTGAAATGTGCCAATGAACTGCATTGTAGTGGAGGGAAATGTCCGATTTGCCGAGCGCAGATTGTGGATGTTGTTCGTGTCTTCTTCGATACAAGAAACTGAAATAATAAATCAGTTTTAAAACGCTGACTAATTCACTAATCGGTGTTGTACTCTCTTTATATTAGGTTATGTTACCTGACATTGTAACGAAAGACTTTGTCCAGTTATATGAAAACTTTTGATCACCTTGAGTTTTGCAACCACTCTAGTAATCATAGTCGCATCGACTTCGATACTTGATATGACTCAAATGATCCAAAATACTCTAATAATGAAAGCTTAAGATTCAAGAAAGCCAAACAAACCCTTAAGAATTGGAGATTTAAAGTCAGAAACAGAGCTTTTAAGCAAACACGAAAATTTTGAGTTTTAAATGATCTTATTATCATCGATTTCGATATCTCAAATATTCAACAATCTCTCTCTCTCTCTCTCTCTTGATAGATATATAAGTATTTACACAGCATCCGTAGATACATTACATTCATATACATACATAATAGAAAAAAAAAACTCTCGGTGTTCTGTCTTTTGTTTCCCTCACTCATGCGTTTTGTGCGGTCAAAAAAGTATTGAAGTCGTCTCTAGCCTTACGCAAACGTGGAGTGATACAAGTTCGCGGAGACGTAGGGCAAGAAACAGAAGCAGACGAGGAAGAAGTCGAGAACCTTACACGACGTTGCGGTGAATTCTCAGCAGATCTCCTGTGATCTCTAGTACTCCTCGTTTTCAAAACACTTCTCAGAGCCAAAGTCTCAGTTTCTCTATCGAACAAGAAACCAGAAGTCACAGGTTCTTGCACATCTCTTCCTCTGTTTCCTCCTCGGCTGTTGCATTTCGTCATCTCCACCGGGAAATCGTGAAACAACCGACCGTTATCTTGAATCAGAGCGGTAGTCGAAGCCCAAGAACCGCATTCGAATTTCTCTAGCGAGGCGCGTATGGACACGGTGGAGTTTGTGAAGGAAGAAGCTCTGATCATCTTCTTCTCCATCGAATCTTGGCGTTTCGAAGAAGCTCTAACCGGCTTGTGTTTCCCGAATCCAGGTAGAGATAAGCAGAAGGCGTTACATTTGAAATCTTCTTCCTTGTAGAGAATCTTCTCTGAGTAATGTGATTTCCTCATAAAGAGGAATGATTCTTGGTAGCTAAGCTTCTTCCGGATTCTCATCGGCTCTGGAAGCATAGGAAGCGGAACTGCCGAGTCTCTAGGAGGAGGCATGGCCGGGGGAAGTACCATTCTGAAGCTGTCCTCTGTTACCGATGAACGGGCGAAAAGAGTACTGGCTGATTTCTCGTTCTGCAGAATTGCATTCTTAACCAAGAAATTGTAATTAGTGTTAGGGTTAGGGTTAGGGCTAGTGGTAGTGTTTTCCCCTGGGAAAACTCTGAAACCTTGCCACTCATTATCACTCGAATTATGGGCTAAATCATCTTCAAACGCAAGCATCGCCGGAGGAGGCATAACTAAAGCTTAGATTTTTGAGAGATTGGTTTGTAATTTTCCGGGTAAAAAACATGCAAAGGATAGAGATATAAGTAGTAAGGGGAATATAAAAGAGAATGGGAAGCACGTTCATGGCAACAAGTAGTGACTTACATGTCGGTTCTATCTTTGTCCTAAGATTTCGACATGTGGTTACTATCATGCTTCATGTGTGATGTGTGTGTATGTAAGTGAGAATATTAAAATAAATTGAGAATTCAAGGGAGAATACAAATGATTTGATTTTTCAATTTTAGGATGTTGGATGGAGACGTATGAAATGGTTTGCACGTAGCTCATGACCTGATCGTTTTGACCTTTGAGTTTAGTATACCTTTGTGTGAGTGTTCTTAATTATGTCTCTCTATAGATAAGTCAACACTTTGTGACGTGAAATTAGTTCTACTTCTAAAGCGAATTAAAATTACTCTTGAAAAGCCAAGAACATTCGAAGTAGTACAAAGTTATATTGATAGAATAATAAAAACGGCATCATCAAACTAAGATCTAATTATACAAATCTTCTAGTTAGTATTACAAGTTGTTAGCTTCGTTTTTACTTTCTCTCGATTTACTAAGATCTAAATACCGTTCATCTATGTTTCCTTTTGATGATCTATGGAAACAGTTCTTCTATAAACATACACAGTTCACTTAATTGATTCTATTATACACACTGCTAAAACATTTCTTAGTTTGTCAAAAACTGAAATGTAAAGATGATTAGAGACTCTAGCTGCAATAGAAGTGGAAACCAAATTGGCATATTGGCTAAATACAGTATGGTTCCTTTTATCAAATAGCCTCTGAAACTCAAACCTCAGAACAACTTAACATCTCTAATTGCTAGAAACCAAAAGCATCCTTCTCCAAAAAAAAAGCTATCAGATCGAATTCTTGACTAATCCGTGCTAACCTTTTTATCGATACTCGACTTACTGAGGATTAGAACTCCAATGGTAATCGATAAAGCTCCTGCAAACCACTGCATAAATAACAAACTGGAACATATCAGCCAAAACTCATTCAACTTATAAAACCCAAATATGTATCATCATAACAATCTTCAAATGTCTATAGACTTTGATCATAACTTTCAAGAAACATATAAACCAACAAAACATAACACAAAAACACACATTTTCAAGATCAAAAACTTACGCGGAAGGATAAGGATTCTTGAAACAGAAACAAGCCAGCTAAACCGGAAGAGAGGAAATTAGCAGCAAAGTTTGTGACAGTAGCTTGTAGAGATGAGAGAGCTCTTAAACTGTTTACATAACATGCCCACATAACCACATTGCAGATTACAACTAACCCATACTTAATCACCTGTCAAAGATCAAAACTTTTTCATTTTTATAATCAAAACTCAACAAAAGCTATAATATTGAAAGAGAAAACAGAACATCTTCTTACAAGAGATGAGAAGAACTTGGCTGAAATGGCGGCAAGAGCTGCACTGAGTCCAGCTGAAATTGCCCAGATGTAGCCTCTTTGCTTCAACTGTACATCAGCCATGGATTCAATTCAACCCTAATTGCATAGATTTCAAGATCCATATCATCACTTGATTAGTTTCAAATCGAACTGGTTTTAAAAGTAAACTGAAGTGTTGGGTTCTTGAAAACTTGACATACCTTTGATATCTGCAATTTCCGCTTTTGTGTTCCGTAGTGTTTTAAAGTCTTGACAAATATGAGAGCATCAAATCTGAAAGTGGAGAAGACGAAGAAGAAGAAGAAAGACAAATTGAAATCTCAAGAAAATGTTGTGTAAGAAAAAGAAACAAAATATATACCCAATAAGATATGGCTTAGGCCCATTATTTGAATACGAAGGCGATTCATAAGTGTCATTAGACTTCTCTTTATAGTTACCAAATCGACTTATACTAGCCAAATTCATAGTAGTTATACTTAAGGTTGTGCTCATTGTAAATAGTTAAGTCAAATATAGTCTTATCTTAATCATATATAATGAAGATGATGAAAGGGAAAAGAAAACATCAGAAGTTGGACTTTGATGCCTTAGTATAATAAAAAATTAGACAATGGTATGTGGGGGTGAGGGATTAGTGAAGAGTTTAGTTGGTGAAAAGTGAAAAAACCTTCTTATGTCTTCCACATAATCATTTCATCATTAGAATCATATATATATAATTGTGGGTCTAATTATTTGTGTTATTATTCTATGTTAATTAATGATAAACATTACAAATATCCAATTTAGTAATATAAGCTGAAAACTTTGATGTAAGATACAAAGAAGGCGGCACACTTTGCTTTTAGAGGTTCGAAGATAATTGGCTACGATCCTACGGATACTATATACTTTGTACGACTTATATATTGTTTTGGAGTCAATTATAAAACTAATTTGTTCACTGATAACGTTACTGGGAATTTTGTTAAGTGTGCCATTTTTGAAACTCAAATTTATAATACTGTCATTAACAAAATTCTCTTTCAAAACATGCCACAAAAGATAAAAATTGGACGATTTTGCTCTTAACATTGGAGAGTAAAACTTTGTTTTTTCTATTTGCAGCAGTAGCCATTAATTGTTAGTATGTAGCCTAATATCCTGTGGGTAATTGACTATGTCAAAAATAACGGACGAGTATGTAATATATGATGGACAAAAAAATATAAAGTAGATGTGGTCTATCGAAAACTCACTTTGACAGAATTCAAGAGACAACTCTGATGCGTGTCCACCAACGATGTTCTATAGAAGAACACAAACAAAGTTTTGATTTATTTAAGGGCACAATGTAAACCAGATCTGTACAAATTGGTGGGTGCTAATGGAGGACGAGTAGAGAGATTTTGTGGAAGTTGTGGGTGGTGAAGGAGCAGAGACAAAAAACGATAGACAAAAAAAAAAAATGATCTCGTCCACAAGATCTGGTCCATTACATCTGATCCGCCATAACTAGTCGACCAAAATTGGTTCACCGAATCTTGTCCATCTACAGAAAAATGTATTGTCCATAGTATAATAACCGTATCACTTGTTTTATCGTCTGGTTGGTCCGCCGAATCAGGTCACCATAAATGGTCCGCCGGATTTTGTCACCTAGAACAAGTTTATCATAACTAGTTTTTGTCCGCCGGAAAATGATTCGCCAGATCTGGTTTGCCAGAACTAGTCTATCGTAACTGGTCTATCTGGTCCGCCGAATCTGCTCTACCGGAGCTGGTTAAAGTTCGTAGGAACTGACTATGGTCCGCCTGAACTCGTCCGCCAGATCTAGTCTATCGGAACTCGTCTTTCTGGTTGGTCGAAACTGGTCCGCCGAATCTGGTCTGCTTGAACTGGTTATACTTCATCAGAATTGACTGTGGTCTGCCAGAACTCGTCCGCTGGAGTTATGGTTTGTCGGAACTGGTCCGTCGAATCTGGTCTGCCGAATCTGGACCAGAATTGCTATGGTCCGCCGGATCTGCTCTGTCGACTCTGGTCCGTCGGTTCTGGTCTGTTGAATCTGGTCTGTCGGAGTTCGTCCGCCGGACCTCGTCCGTCGGATCTGGTCTGGTGGAATTGTTTGTTGTTGGAAGAAGAAAAAGAAAGTGAAAAAGGGAAAGAAAAAAAAAATTGAACAGTCACGACATTGAGCAGCCAATTCATCCAGGAATACATTAATCTTTTTGTAGAGCTCTTGTGCCAGGCGGGAGAAGAGGTTTCTCAAAATGGCATTTCTTACAAGTTTTTTTACTGTACATGGCAGTCTTTACAATTTTCTCAACGTTAATTGTATACATGTATTATAATGTGATTACGGATATATACCGAAGTCTTCTTTTGTTTTGTGGTACGAATTCTCTTTTTAGAGTTGTTTATCAAGAAAGAAAACTTCATTGGACTAGATTTGGAGATGTAGCAAAAGCATCTATACATATCATTATAAACTTTTAATTGAGTTAAGAGATTATGGGACAAGATATTGTGGACGATAGTTTATCATTGTTAGTGATCACTTCGTATAAGTATAAAATTGTGTAGTCTAGAGTCTAGACTTTCTCAATTCTCATCAATCTCTAGATATGAGATGCAGCAAAAGAATCTATACATGACATACCTACACTTTTAATTAGGTTAAGAGATTATCAAGATATAGTGGACGACTAATCGTAGTAGTTAGTGATCACTTCATATATATTTTTGTTTTGTCAACAAAAGTAAGTAGTTAGTTATGATCACTTCATTGATCTAATCAAGAAAAATAGTACGAGCATATTTGAGATATTATCATCATACATAATACTATAATTCAATTCCTTTTTACTTAGAATCTCTACAAATTAAGTTTATTACTTATAAATGTTTCACTTCTCGCCAAGCTTATCACTCAAATGATATATACGTGAACAAGAATCACTAAAGCTTGTTTTGACGTTATTGTTTTCGCCACTTTGCAGTTTTTAGTTAAGTTAATTTTTGTCTCTTTTAATCATTTTCACCACACTATTCTCTAAATATAACTTTTTGTTTGTTTACAAAGAAACCACGATTCTACGGTTTGAAAATGTTTACCAATCAATATCTTAGAGTTTAATTATTGTAAAACGTGATACCTAAAAGATTATATAATTGATACCTCACTGTGTGTTATAAATTATAATGCTCTATACAAAATTAGTAAATATGGATACCAAACCAAACCCCAAATCTTGGAATTGTAATCTTTAATTTTCATTATTTTCTTAAAAGCAACAGAGACCATATATAGCCTCTGTCTCTGTATCTAATTTAGGTTCTTAGGCACAGGCTTAGGTACCAACTCTGTCAGAGTATTGATGTACATTAGTATATAATAATAGACGTGTGAATGTGAACCTCTCTATTAAACTCTATATATGATTATCTCTATAATCTTTGGAGTTTATCCCTTTCTAATTCATTCCTAAACCTAAAACGAAGCAAAGGGCACTTTTATATCATCAACCTGTACTTTTTTAGATTTCAAGTTAATTAACCAATCTTTAACACTTTTGTTTTTATTGTAGTTGCCTAATGGCGTAATTCATTAGTCATTACCTACGCACTTTCGCTAATCATGCCTCCATTATTTTATTCACACCCCAAAAAGTCCATTCACTGTATACACAGCTCTTTTGAAAAATATTCGATCAAAATAGATAATCTATATCACCATACTTTATCAACATCTAGTTTTATTTATACAACTTAAAGATCGACGAGTTTACATGCTTTTTCGAACGTATATAAGATTTTACATACATTACGAACATTTTCTTAACAAATGATACATGTAATCATGTAATCTATCAATATTAGTTAATGATGTGTTTGCATTTGTAGAGTCGTATTCAAAAACACGTCAAGGAAACATACATTACCCTACATTGGATACACAATTACGATATAATCTGTGGTTGAATCAAAAGCAACAAAATATTTGGATTTTGTGGGCTCTAAAGAAATTTACAAGGCAGGGTATAGATTTTAGAATATGAGTGAAGAGCCAGAAGCCATAAGAGAAGAAAACAATCTTTTTCATTGTAAAGTGCTCAAAGAAAAATACAAAAACTAAAGGAGCATTAAGGAGACAATGTTCGTAAACAACACCGAGTTAATGCCAAGCTGCATCATCACCATTAAGCATGTCTCTTCTTTTTGTTTTCCCATTCATTTTATTAACACTCTAATTAACCATCATGATCATCATTAATATTTTTTTCTAATTGGAATCTTGTAGATAGTGAGCACTTTCTTTGTATTTCTTTTGGTATATGTTGTGCCCCATAAACGACAGTTTTTTTCCTTTTTTGTTGTTTTGTAATGTTACCAAGTGTTACAGGTTTATTGTTATTGGAAAACAGCTATATATTTAATTTGTTCAGTATGATATATATCAGTTATAATATTCATCTTACTTTCAAACATTTATTCTACATATAAAACTAATCTGATATTTGTAGACTATCCTATTTAGATGTTTGTATTTATTTGTGTATATGTTAAGCAAGATAAATGCCTACATAGATTTTGAAATCAAGAAACTTATTTATCGCAGAACACCAAACAAAATGCATAACAGAGAACATATAACTGATTTTTGCTGAAAAAATAAGTTCTAAAATTGGTCACTCTCCCGATATAAATTTAACGTGAAGAGATCGTTATGTGTTAGAAAATGTTATGAAGTTCCATTAAAATAGATAGCGTGTATAAAATATCGGGGTTTAGATCGAAATCAGTTTATTCTTCGCATTTTTTTCTTTCTAAACTATATAGTTTTAGTACCAAACTTAACATTTGGTTTAGCAAAAAAAAAAATTGGTTAAAATATTTTAATATTTAACAAATTAACTTTTAAAAATATGAAGAAATAACATTGCAAAATTACACAACAAAGTGAACAGAAAATATGTTTGACATAATGGGAAATTGGCAATTGATGAGAAGTATAGTGGTGTGATTAATTATTTGATTATTGACCCGATTGTTACTAACCTATTAAATTTATTGTCTTACTACTAGGTCAAATTTGAGTGAATCTTAGATCCTTGTTATCTCATAGTAACAAAATCTTATATTCCTCCAAATGAAAAACACACTACTCTATTAAATACAACACAAATAAAAAGCCATAGATAATACTAAAATGAAATATATACATATACATACTTATTAAATTATCAAACCGACAACGGATAAATCCACACTTTAAAAGTGTACACATAATTAGTTTCGTCCATGATAGGATAATAAGGAAAAAAA